ATTATTTATTGTGCATGAAGTTCACACTTTTGTTATTTATTTAGCTGAAATCTGATATAGTTTGGTTTTGTATAGTTTTTTTTTCTCAATGAATGGTTGTATTTGATTGATGAACTACAAACAGAAGGATGAGACAGATGTCAGTCAATTCGATCCCAAGTTTACAAAACAGATGCCCATTGATTCTCCTGTTGATTCTAAACTCAGTGAAAGTTGCAACCAGTTGTTTATGGTTAGTTGTTTTCTAAAAAGTTTTTCTTTTGAAGCGCATTAATATAAAAAAAACTTCTGAAGTGCTGGAAGTTAGTGTGAGCTCTATATAGGATTTGATTGCTAAGTGAAGTATTTGCCTTTGAATCCTTCAGCCATCCATGATTATAATTTGATTGTGGCTCTTCAGATTTCATGCGAGGGTAGATGCTGTAGAATTGTTTAGTAAAATAAAAACAATATAATTTTTTTATACCTCCAAAAAACAAATCAAATAGTTATAAATATTGCATCACACTGCAGGGTTTTACCTACGTTGCACCTTCTATACTCGAAGAAATGACAAAACCTTGGTTATCGGTTAAAGAACCGAGGTCACACAGAAAGTTAGGATCTTTTACGATGAGGTAATTAAAATGAATTTGTTATTTTAATTTTAATGAATTCTTCCTGCCAGTCACATTTGGGTGCTTTCTATTTTTTTCATTTGGCTCTTCAGTGTTCATGATTTTTTGTGTAAAACAATGTTGCTTTTTTGCTTGATATATATATATTTCACACTTGGCTTCATGCTTCATAGTCAATTTTTAGAAATTTCATTTTAGTTTGCTGGAACGGTTTATTTTTATCTCAGTGTTATGCATTATAAATTATATTATATATTAACAATTTTTTCAAATTTAAAAGATATGTTGTTGGTTGTTTTGATTTTAATAAAAAGGCATGCCGCTGTTGGGAAATTTTGTTATAAATTGATTTTGACATGCTTATTTGGAAAATTGTATATATGTTCGTATAGATGTGTATATTCATTTATTGATTGATTGTTATATAAACTTCTATCTCAAATTTGAGGGACCAACACCACAACATTGAAGACATTAACGAGAGTGATGACGAACATTTAACATCAACCACACTTAAAGACAAAAATAGCATTACAAACCACAATGGTGCAATTAAAATCAATAAATCTCGTCCTATCCCTGTTTCAAAATCTGCTGTCTTTAAGGGTGTCAAATTACCTTTCAAATCCAGCCAAAACTTTGATAACAAAAGTACAAAGCCACCATTCTTTACAACAAAATCGACGCCGACGACAGCTTCAACATCTGCATCCTCTTCAGGTAAAGTAACTCCAGTGAAGAGCCATTCATCGACTGGAAGTAGTCGTTCTAACATCAATTATGTTGAAACCTTGCTGCACTATGGTAATGGCAAGGACTCCAAACAAGGCAACGAAAAAAGATGGAATTTTTCAAGTTTTGTCAAATCAATCAAATCACCTTTCAATCCAAAGAATCATAAGGCTAAAAATTAGTCATGACTGTTTAATTTAACTCAGTTATTTTTTATTTATCTTCACTCAGATTCGTATACATATTTATTGTCTAACTTGTGATGCATTATGTTGAAGACAATGTTATAAAAAAAACAGTTATAATAGTAATGCGTTTGATCATTGAATGTGCCAGTCACTCGTTAACATGTTATTTTTTAGCATTATGTAAGCTTGTCTATTATTGATAAATATGTTTCATTTCATTATTTCTTTCATCTTGTGGGACAGGGTACTTACTCCTGTCACCACATTTTAGTCATCGCTTTACTATAAGTTTCATCTCAGCTGACGTAACTGTAAAATAGTCTAAATATTTTTACTCACAGTTAATAATATACTCACTAATAACATGGATAACTATAAAAGTACAGGATAACTTAATTTTCCATTTATAACTTGCTCAATATATTAATATTATCGATATATATTTATATGTATATATTTATATAAATATATTCATCTGTATAATTTTATTACAAGTTGTTAGTTTATATGTGATCAATAGTATTTGATCATCACGCACAGTTTGACTTGAATAATCAATGAAAAAATTTTTTATAATTGCACTGGTGGCATGATTCTTCATTGCACTACCATATTCTCTTTTGATCATCATTTATTGCGGTTTGCAAATATCAAAGTTGTTTTTTATTTAATTTAACTTATGGTGTACAAATTTGATGAAAATCTTTTGTAGGATTCTTTAATTATTATTCCTATCATCATTTTTTGTAGCCTCATTTCAATTTTTAGTAACTACCTGTGTCATTTCTTGTTCACAAATCCTCTAATTCACACTCAAGTATTGCTGTTAACTTAAATTTTAAACTAGCTTTGTGTTACATGCCAATCGTCATTCAACATGCTTGCATCTCTTTTTATTTTCAACGTATTCATTGTTATTTCCCTTCCATGTGTGCATGTCTGTTTTACGTTAATGTTGTGTTTGTTGTTTGTTGTCATGTACCTGTACTGTACACCAACCAAAGATGTATATTATTTAGTTACGTTAAACTAACACAAAAACAAACCTGGTGACCATGCGAAAGTTTCAGCAGCTTGTGAAATTTCTGACTAGGAAAATTTACTCTTTAAATTAACTTATTTATGGAAAGCCTAACAAAATAAAGTTTGTTTATTCATTAAGAAATTACTTCGCCATTGATTGAAACTCAACCATTCCTCTGCAATATTTATTAGATGCGATTGCAGCACAAGCTGGTCAGCAGGTAATGCGAGAGAATGTTAGCTGTTCTGCTAATGAAAGGTTGCTTTGATTTGAGAGCGGTTTTTTTTATATCTTTGATATATTAGTATATGTTTAATTTTTGGGCTCTATTTCATGTTGAACTTTTTCTTAAACCAAACATATCAAAAGGTAGTTATATAATTCATTTAAAAACATTTTGGCAAATCGTAACTTTCATTTCCATTCACTTAACTTTTCAAAAAATTTCATTTCAGTAAATTATTTTTTTTCATTTTATTTTTATTGTCACTTTTTTCAATTACATGACTTGCCTCGATTAAGGTGTGAATTTATATTTTAAATACTATAAACCAGTATTTTGATATTAGGCCAATCTTAATTACTACTTGGCCGTTAGCAGCTCAAAGACGTAGATGTAAAGTTTGGAGTTCTAACAGCTCTTCTCATTTTCCTGTCTTATTAATCTGCTACAGATGTTTTTATTTGCAAATGATATCTTCGTTGTCACATGGAATATTGATAAAAATTATTTAATTATTGATAAAAATGTTTGAATTCCAAACTTCAACCTCTTATTAGCAGCGATTAAACGATTGGTAAGTGCATAAGTATTAAACTCTGTGAAATGTAATTTGTGTGCGGCCTGCGATTCACATACAGATTATAAGTTAATTGATTAGCAACATAACCGTCTGAACATCTGTATGATACAAAGTAAATTTAATTAAAATGCAAAACTTTGGCTTAGTTATTATCGTGTGAAACGTTTTGGAAAGTTTTTTCTAATTAAGAAGCGGTGATTAATTATACCAATAAGATCGAAACAGACTTTAGGGTTGGGCTGGATGAAACCACGAAAACTATGAGCGTTAAATAATGTAGCATGTGTTTTTGACGTTTTGTATGTCTCTCTGTCTCTTTCTCTCTCATCTAATTTGCTACTTATCTGTTTTCGTGATAACGTTTTAATATTTTTCAGATTTAAATAGAGTAGGATGACTTGTTTAACATTTATTGAGATTAAATTTTTTACCTATACACTAGCGATATATATATATATATATATATATATATATTATATACATGTGTGTATGGTGTGAATGTAATTATATGCGTGTTTATAATATATATTTATATACCCGTGTGTGTATGAGTGTCGTGTGCATATGCACCATTTAGGTATGTTTATGTGACTCCGTGGTTACATGACAAATGCACATGTGAGTATGTTGAGTTTTTTGTCTAATTTTTAAAACCATAGGAATTTTGTCATCCATTAGTGAATTTTACTAGGAATCAATTATAATAGATGCTTTATTGGAACACTCGTGTATAGTATTTTTGTTTCTTTATGATAATTTTTGCGTAAATTTCGTTCATGTTCTTATGTTTACAATATAATTTTTGAGTTTGCCAAGTTTTTTTCACTAACAACAAAAAAAACATGTTTTGCAATATGGAAAAGTTTACAAAATAGCAAAAACTTCAATATAGCTATGGTGGTACAACATTCTTCAAAACTAATGTTTTTCGTTGATGGTTTGGTATGGGTGAAAGCACATCAAGATCGTTTAAGATAGGTTTGCAAATACAGAAAAGGGTGTTCTATTTTAATATTTTATTTACGTTATATATTGCTTCCAAATTTTTCATGACACCCATCTTAATTAAATTTTCGAACAATTATTGCAGTTGGTAAATGCAGAATAATTTACTCAAGTTTTGAATCTCCATGTTCAACTACTTATCAAGTTTTCTCTCAGCATGTTGACTTTGATATTTTAACTTCATATATATGTATATATATATATATATATATTTTCAGTCCTGTCATTCATTCGTTTTTCCTGGACGATGGAAGATTTGCTACGAACACCATCCTTGAGGAGGAGATGGACATTGGAACGTCTGGCAACAATGGTGACACGGATGATGTTTTTCAAAGCCAGCAACAACATCAGTTTCTCAAACCTGCCTCATCAACTTTCCTTAAACCTGGGAAATGATCTTTATGAAATAAAAAGTTTTCTTGAAATTAAAAGATTGTTCTCTGATAAATTTATTGACAATCATATTTAAATGTGTGTGCTGTTTGTTACATCTCAGTTATCATGTAGAGTCAAGTTGTGCGATTCACGACTTTTTTTATTCAGTTTAAGGAAATCATGAAAACGTTAATAACAAATATATAATATTTAACCTTTAGCATATAATTTAGTGAAGATTCTGCAGCCTCTAATCTCGTACGTAAGCAACGTAAACATAGAAGTAGTTAGACAACAATGTTCTTATAACATATCTTCTCATTAAGCTCGCTAAGATTTTATTATCAATTCAATTTTTTGGATCGTTTCGTTTATTTATAATTTGTTTGAACGACTTTTCGATGTTACATTGCATTTTTATTTCTTTTTTTAAATACACAACATTAATGCTTGATAGGAAAGTAACTTTCTAAATGTCCTTATACGCATAACCAAATATGGCGCTTTCTTTATCGAAAATTTATTTTATCGAAGATGTATGATATAATTAAAATAATTTTAATTATTTGATAAATGGCCCAAACTACGTTATTAGAATATTACGTCATGATCGTTACTTCATCGTTATTTGATTGATGGAATGTGGTTATCTCTGTGAGGAATTTTTAATTGCACTACGATGCTACGAAGTTCAGAGCGGATCTCAAGACCCATCTGTTTGCAAAATTCATTCGCTGTTGAACATCACGGAAATAGCGCTTTATAAACTAATTGATTGATGTTTGCAAAGTTTCTAGCTCCATTATGTCGGTTCATCTGAGTTTAATTTTTTCCAATCGTCGTTCATATTCCTGTTTGTCAAAGCTGTTTAGTATGGAAATAACTAAAAATTTTCTTGATGTCTCGAGAAGTCGTGAAACCATATCATGGTTGGCTGATTAATTAATACCTTAATATACAGGTACAGAAACGTAACCTGTTATATAGTCCCTTAACAAATAGTTTCTTTCATAAGCATTACATAATTTGAATTGCTTTTTGTAAAGTTTGAGAAAATGTAATATTAGTCTTATTTGAGATTTTGATTTGCTATTTTTCATTTTAATCCTTTGTTCAGTACCGCTATAGTGTTTATTTCAGGTAAACGACTTAGTTGAGTTTGCGAAACCGATTATTAAATCATTATGCTTGTATATAATTATGATCTCCCTTCTAAATATTTGTTGTTATGGCTTTTATCCTAAATATTCGACCCTCTAACTTAAAATGATTTTAACAATTTGAAGAAATTTGTTTTTCTGCATGAGATGTGTGTTAAAGTTTGAATGGTTTGCCGAGTTGCCTTCATTTGATTGATTTTTTTTATATCGCATAATTATTCTAAAACTTGTTTAAATTATGCATGAAAAGATCTTTATAAACAATGAGACAATGTTCAATAAATTTATTACGCTAATAATTTGTTTTTTGCTAGTTTTTGTTGACATTTTAATTAATATGGTTAATAATATTGCTTTAATTTAAATTTTAAAATTTTGGATTGTTACACTCTCTTTAAACTACCGATCATTGTAGATATCGAAAGCTGTACAATTGCGTTGTTCCTGTTCTTTCATATTTAAAATAAACAATGTCGATTGGAATCATTTTTTTCATTTCGATCGAAAATAAATTCTTAGAATGCATTCAAATGTTTTTCATTCAATCATCAGGCAGACAAGCACAAAGAGTAGAATTTCATCATGTCCGTATTGATGCGTTGTTTGTTGGTCAGTCGTCAGACTATCGATGGTCTTCGACCTTGCTTCCCTAACGATTACGATGCTTGCTCAGCACGATACGAATTAGAAAAACCCGATGCCATTAATTGAAGCTTGCTCTTGGAGCACCTAATCGTTAATGAATTACATAGAATTTTTGCGTACGTTCACGCATCACTAAAAGATGGCGCCATGAAAGTCAAGAGAAGTTGCGGGAGCATTTGAAACGAGTTTTTGGGTAAATATTAAGGACGTTACACAAATTAATTAGTAGTTTTTGATTGATCAGATAAGAACCGTTATTTACGTTTGCAATGTTTTACTTCTTAGTACATTATTTGTAATTAGGTTCGTTTACCAAAAAACAAATTTTTCTGCATTTTTTTTCTTAGGGGTCGTCTCAACAACAAATTCATTTAGTTGGGCCCCAAACATACTCTACTAATGCTAACTCAAAATTTTTGTTATTGTTGTAGAGAATTTCGACGCCAAAGCATTATAAAGTTTGTGCAGACATTTCAGTACAATCTTTTTAAAACAACGTACAAGCAACAATGCGTAAAATATTCTGCAAGTTATCGTTTTCTCTGCGGAAACATTTTCTATGGAAATTGAAATTTAAAAAGACTGTTGTTAGCACTTAACATTAACAAATATTTTAATTCTTCTATTGACCATTACTAATTTATTTACTCATATTTCCTAGTTTTGCATTTACATGAAAAGCACTTTAACACGCGTTGCACCTTTATCATACGTTCAACAAATTCGCATATATTAAATATATACCAAATTATATATATAAATATATATATATATAACATGTTTATATGATATAATATAAGCTTATATATTTGGAATATATATATATATATGTATATATATATATATAATATATATATAACATATATATTTGGAATATATATATATATATATATATATATATAATAAACTTATACATTTGGAATATATATATATATATATATATATATATATATATATACATACATACATACATATATATATATAAATATATAGTATAACATATTTATATGTTATAATAAAAACTTATATATTTAGAAAAGTTGTAATGTTAATCCTTGGAGCAACAAGATTTGCTCGCAGCTGTATAGTTCGTAAAATATCAAGTAAAACAAAAAATAACATGGAACATTATAATGTTCTTCTATGTACGTATGTTATATATATATATATATATATACATACATACATATCTGTGTCTGTGTGTGCATGTGAGCAAGCTTATATAAGGTAACAGATCATAAACAACTGATATATGCCAACTATAAAAGAGAAAAAGGATAGCACATATATATATATATATATATATATATATATATATATACATATACATTTACGTCATACATAACCGTTATAGAAGACAATTATACAACAGTATATCTCAATATATTGGCAACATCTTTATATCAGAAGTTATTCTTATTTGATGTAGCTCAGGAAAAAATACATGAAGTGATAAAGCCACACGTAAATATTTATATACACATACTTACACACAAACTTTATTTTAAGAGAATTTTCTTCACACACACAGAGTTTTTTTTATACAGCATAGAAACATACATAACAACATACGCACCGCATACATAAAAACAAATACATAACTGCCAATAAATATATAAGCATTACATTCTTACAAAAACTAAACACATAATTACTTACACACACACACTCACGCACGAACACACACACACTTGTGTATATATATTTATCATCATATATACTATTGTTATAATGTATTATGCATATAATGATAGAGCGATGCACGTTTATATAAGAAGCATGTAACATACATGTATGTACCGTTGTATTGTGCATTGTATTGTGCTAGGAGGATATAGTTGCATCAGTGATCATCATATCATCCATATGGGATGTATGACTCCGACTTTCTATTGCTAGTGGGGAGAAAAAACTTGTAAAAGTGAGATTGCATTGACTCGCAACCTTTGTGAAGAAGGAACCTACTTTGAAGAAGAAGAAGAAGAAGAAAATCCCAACAGCCCAGAAGAAGTTGCATGCCACCACATGCGATTTTTTTTTAACAATTTATAACTTAATTTCGCAAATTCGTAACGACGGACTAAAACTAAAAGTGAACCTGAGTTAATTTAAAAATAAAGCAGGGTTCAGCCATGGATGACTCCCATGCAAAAACGGTGGAAGAAGTACTCCGGTACTTAAACGCTGATGAAAATCTCGGCCTGGACGACGAACAAGTTAAAAGAAACCAAGCTAAATATGGCCCAAACGGTTTGTTTTTACTCTTTAAGTCTTTATTTATGTGTTTGTGTGTCTGGTATACTATAAAAAATAATATGATTGCATTGCTTATTAAATTAATTTTTTGTGAACTTTCAATTAATATTAATTAAATTTTATTTAATAAATATTAATTATTATTATGTTTAAAAAAAGACTTCATGTATTATTGTATTGTAGTCTGTATCTGTAATATTGTAATCTCTAATTAATAGTCTAATCATTAGACTCCAATCCTAATGTAATAATGTAATTGATTGTCAATTGATAGTTTTAGTTTTAATTTAGAATAGATTATTAACCAAGTAATTAAAATTGTGTTAATTTTATTTTTAATTTAAAAAGTTAAGATTAATGATTAATCATTATGACATTAATTAATATTAATAGAATTATTAATTGACTACTATCAAGTGTCAATGTTTAAAGTTTAAATCCATTGTTGTTGATTTTTATTGTTAAATTAATAAAAAAATTTATCAATGATTGACTTTGCAAGTAGTTAATTAATTTAGATTTAAAATAAGGTAATTTATTTGAAATGTAAATATTTTATATAATCTATGAATATCTGCCAGTTAAAATGAACATTTTTTTACTCATTTGATGACTTGTCTGTATGAATATGCCATATTTAAATGTAATCTGGGAAAAGTGCAGGTGTAGATTAGCTGCAAATGCAATCAGAAATTATTGCATCACATCAATCAATTATCACTTAGTCAGTGGCACTATTTGTTTTGAAAATGGAATAATGTCTGACATTGATTTGTTATAAACATTTATGCACAATCAATATTCACTAAACTAAATGAATGACAAATAATTTATATGGTTCGGCATATTTTATCATATTATAATCAAATGCTGATATAAATGTTAATAGGTATAAATTTATAACTTAAAGAAATTCTAGTTTTTAATCTGGCAAAATCCTTTGATTTTTTTTTTCATAAGTTTGATTTTTTTTTCATTGCAATAGAGAGATGTTTACAAACATTATTAAGTTATTTTCAAATGATTTCTCAAGTGGATGTTCCATTGAAAACCTTAACCCAACTTCTTATACCTTTCATTGATTGATTTAAACAATTGTTTTGTCTATTGATTATTCTAATCTGCAGATGTAAAAAAAAAACAATTAATGTGTTTGTTATATTCTTTGTATTATTCAACATTTAATATCTTAAGTTTAAATGTTTAATTTTTTAAACAGAGCTGCCAGCTGAAGAGGGTATGTTTTTTTTTATAACAAAAATCTTTTTGAAGTATCATTGATTATGAGTTTTCAACTTTTGTTATTTAGTGAAAAAGTTCAACAATCTAGATCTGATTTATGTTGAAAAAAATTTTCTTTTTTAGGAAAAACAATATGGGAGTTGATCTTTGAGCAGTTTGATGATCTTTTGGTGAAGATTCTTTTATCTGCAGCCATTATTTCGTTTGTAGGTATTTTTCAATAAATTTAATTAACTTAAGATAATTTTTATACGATCTGTAAATATTTATTTATTCTATCTTTATCAATATTCATTTTTATCTGTTGTCCACGTTTTTCAATTGTTGCTTATAATGTGATTGATGGCACATTGGTAGATTGTTTAAACTTACATAAAAAAAATCAAATGCAGTATAGAAAAATATTTTACTGTTTTGACTGATATAACAAAGATTATACCTGAATTGAAATTTGAAAACAAAAAATTTATGTTCAATATTTGACACATTTAAAATTAAACTTTCTAGAATTAATTTTTCTTGGTAAGGTAGATTACCTTTATTTAGTCTCATTTTAGTTTCAGTCTAAAACAGTTTAGTTTCAATCTAAAAATCACCCAATGTTCTTCATTTTGAAATGTGTTGATATATTGTCTTTTAGAGGTTGATTTATTTTTTTTACTTATTTTGACATCATTACTACTACTGTTGTAGCTGCTATCAGGGTTACTCCTATATTGTTAATACGTTGTTTGTCATTTGCAGTTGTGAATGCTTTTGTTAAATGACATACATTGTTCTGTGCGCTATGATTATTTGCTATATAATGTTCTACTAATGCTCTAGTCACAAATGAAATAACTAGGTACAATTCAATTTTATTTTTAACTCTCTGATGATGTCAATGCTATGCTGCTTAATAACCAATCAATGTCAACTGCCATTTTAAATTTATTGCAAAATTTTGAATGGAGTTGAGAGTTGATGTACGTTACTTTGGTGGTGACTGGTGATATTTAATGTTACATACAAATCAGATAGATGGGCAGGCAGACTCAACAAACATGTTTACATGCTGTTAAATAGTTAAAAATATATTAGACTAATGTTGCAAATATTGTTGTAAGTTTTGGTCTTCATGTGCCAAATACAGCTTAAATTCGTTTTCCATTTGAATAATTTTTAATGTTTTCAAAATTATTTGGCTATTATTAAATGACAAATCTTTAGTCTTTATCAACAATATTTTTTTGTATGAAATTAAACATAAGATAATTTAATTAAAGATGGTTGTGTATAGGTAAAAAAAATTGATGCAAATACAAAACTATCCCAAATCACACATTTTCAGTTGGAATCTCATTTATTTGTTAAACATTTTTTTTCACTAATGTTTCTCATGCACATACATCGGCTGACGTTGTTATATCTGTATTTTTCTAAACTTGAGTTATTTATAACAGCCATGTTTTTGTTGATTGATGGCTGAGATAATGAAGTTAGTGAGAGTTTGAAAAAAAAGAGAGAAAGAGAGAGAGAGTTATAGTTTCTTAGGTAAACTGCTATTAAAAGTGATAACCAAAAGGAAGAAAGAGGAGAGAGAGAGAGGGGGGGGGGGGAGAAAACGAGTGAGGAAGAAAAGAAAATGATCATAGATCTTATGTTTTAAAATGAACAAATGAGTGGAAGATTTAAGAATAAATGTATAATTTTGAGAATGAGAATGAATAGATGAATGAATGAATGAGTGAATGAAAAATGAGCGATTGAAAGAACACAGGTGCATTATTATATCTGTTGACGTTCTGTTTATGTTGTTCAACCATTGAATTATTTTGTTATTTCCGTTACTTACTGTATATTCTTTATAAATATTTGCACACACACACAACTTTTGTTGTTTCAAGTAGAGAAACCCATTTACGTTCATCACTACTAGATCAATATTTCGCCTTTGTTATATTATGTTGTTTAAATCTGCTGCTTGCAGATCAATTAGTAACTGCTAACTTTGTTCATTTATTTGTTTTTGTATGACAAAATTTAATCATTTTTGAAAATATTTCATTATATTTTTCTTTATTGTACATAACTTATTTATTTTTTTATAACCTGTGCCAATTTATTTTAAAATCAAATGCTACATAGCAAAGTTGAATTTTAATACATCAATAGATTTGAGTAGTAAAAAAATAAGAAATAGAATTGTTATAATCTTGTTATGTTTATGAAGGAATGATTAACGTGTAACCTTGGAGAGGAGCATTGATATGAGGAGGGCATTGAGTTCATAACCAAGTGATGCGTTTGCATCCTTTAATGAAACTGTTGTTCAACATGCTATGTGGGAGACTACTACGTTTTAATATCATTTTAAAGAATTTTCAGCTTTTAAACATGCGTTCAAAGTTTTTGAATTTACATGTAAGATCTTATACACTTGTAATGTTTATGATTAATTTAAAAGTTTTATATCATTGTCACACAAAGTTTCACTGAAACAACATCTAACAATTTTAAGGTTTTGGCCTGGTTTGAAGAATCGGAAGAACAACTGACTGCCTTTGTAGAACCTTTTGTAATTTTGCTCATTCTTATCGCTAATGCAGTTGTTGGTGTCTGGCAGGTTGGTGTTTACGTTCCAATTTGTTCATTGTCGACATCAGTTGAATGAATGCATGAATGAATGAATTTTGTTATTCAAAATGCAGTGTTAGAAAAAATTCTCAGTACAAATTGTGAAGGTAATAATTTTTGTAACATCATATCCTTTAGATGAAGCAAACTACCTGACATTTCTTATAAAAAAATATAGATGCTACCTCGCTTCTGCCATGTGTTGCTTCCCATCATAAATGCTTTCATTTTTTTGAACATCATCATTGCATTTTTTTTCTGCCAAATTATGATTGAGGCTTGTAGTGATAAATTATTGAAAGTTAAAGCAGTTTTTTTAAGTATATTCGCGACCATCTTCATAATATTCAATTTATGTTAACATTTAGTCATTTAAATAACAATCCTACACAAATGTTTAATTTGGATTTTGGACATTTGTTCACTTGTTTTTCAAAATTCAGGAGCGGAACGCTGAAGATGCCATCGAAGCCCTAAAAGAATACGAACCGGAAATAGCGAAGGTCATTCGAAAAAACCACAGGGGTGTGCAGAGAATTAAGGCTCGTGAACTTGTGCCTGGAGATATCGTCGACGTTTCTGGTTGGTTCATTTTTTTGGTTACCGAGGTTTACTTACTTTCACTTCAAAATTGAAGTTCAGCACAAACATTGAAACTAATAACACCAAAAATAATTTCTTGCTTGGTAGTTGGAGACAAGGTACCAGCAGATGTGCGCATCATCAAAGTCCTTTCTACCACCCTGCGTGTTGACCAAGCTATCCTTACTGGTCAGTTTCGTTTCTATTTCTAAATTCTATTTGTTTATTTAATATTTTTTTAAATCAAAATAAATAAAAATGTTTACGTAGTTTTAAGAATTTTTTTTTAGAAAACTTTTAAAACTTCGTGAACAGGTGAGAGCGTTTCAGTCTTAAAGCATTCAGATGCTATCCCCGACCCACGAGCTGTCAATCAGGATAAAAAGAACATACTCTTCTCTGTCAGTTCATGTCATCTTTCTTCTTTCAAAATTTAATTTACTAGTCTCAAAACCAAGTTATTCAAAAATCCAACATATTAACACTGAACATTGTTACAATTAATTTATCAGGGAACGAACATTGCAGCTGGAAAATGTAGAGGTGTTGTCATCGGGACTGGCTTGAATACTGAAATTGGTGGGTTGGTTGAAATGTTAAATAAATTTTCATGAAAACTGTTTATGTGGCCATTTTAGCATTTGAGCAGAGTTCTGAAGATTTTATTTAAAAGATGTATCCGAGTTTCATTGGTCGGTTGTCTTATAAGGACAGTTCAATTCATTTTTTTTTCAGGTAAAATCAGAACTGAGATGTCAGAAACGGAATCTGAGAAAACTCCTCTGCAACAAAAGCTTGATGAATTTGGCCAGCAATTGTCCAAAGTTTGTTTTTAATTCGTTTCCAAGACATGTGATAGTTAACTTGAAAAATGTTTAGTTTATGCCTGGCGATATCTCTTAAAATGGTGAACAAATGATACTCTTAACGCAACAGCATTAACTAAAAAATGCACACGGTAGTATATGAGACAATGATTGTTGCAGGTGATATCGCTGGTGTGCATAGCGGTGTGGGCCATCAACATTGGCCACTTCAATGATCCCGCCCACGGAGGCTCATGGCTGAAGGTTTCCAGTTTTTTTAAATTCTATTCCATTGTTTTGCCGGGTTTCTTAAATAAGAATGAAAATTTAAGTTATGGCAAATTTTCGTTCCTGTTATTGTTAACGTTCAATTTGCTGTTTCTAGCTTAGTTATGAGATGGTTATCATCATTATCTGCCGTTTAATCAATCAATCAATCAATCAATAATCAATCGATGAGTTTTTAATCCTTTGGGGAACCGCTGGAGTTGATGATGTCTTTTTTATTGTAGATTTCAAAAATCTTTTCTTATCTTTTCCCAATTTTATTGCATTCAATTTTCCACCCCATTTCACCCTGCAATGTCATCTCTCCATTTCTTAGCAGACTTTCCAACTTTTCATTCCCAGTTTCTTTATATTATTTGTATTAGTTATCATTTAATAACATCGAATGTCAAACTTCTAGAAAATTTATTACAATGCACCATCAACCACAAAAGACCACAACGATTCACGAACGCAGGGTGCAGTTTACTACTTCAAGATCGCTGTGGCTCTTGCAGTCGCTGCCATCCCCGAAGGTCTGCCTGCCGTCATCACGACCTGCCTCGCTCTGGGAACTCGTAGAATGGCCAAGAAGAACGCCATTGTTAGAAGCCTGCCCTCCGTCGAAACGCTAGGATGCACATCCGTCATTTGCTCTGATAAGACCGGAACTCTCACAACCAATCAGATGTCTGTTTGCAGAGTTAGTTTTTAGATTAATTTGTTTGTATGTATGCGCGCGCGCGCGCGTGCGTGAGTGCGTGTCTTCGGATTTGGTTGTTGTTGTTTTTGACTGGTCAGTAGATTGATTGTAGCTTCTTCTTTTCTTTGTCTGTTTTGCTGTTTTTTCATTGTAGTTAGGGTTTTATCGTGTTTTTAATTTATGTCATGAATTTACTTTGTTGTCTTGATTGATTTATATCTTTGTATGATATCTTAATAGCTGGAGTGGATGTTGTTACAGATGAGCATTTGTGTTGCTGCGTTGGTGTTTGTGATGCTATTCTGTTGAGTTGATGTGTCTGTCGATGTTTTTTAACAAATACTCTTTAGTTTTTATTTAATGATTTTTTTTCGTTTTTCAACAATTATATTTATTTTTAATTTTGTAAGTTTTAAAGTCATTAATCTGACAAAAAAAATTTTCAATGTTTTAGATTTACCTAGTTTGCTTGATTTTCACCAAGCAGATTTTAATTTATTTTGAATCTAAATATTGAAACACATTATAAACTTTTGTTATTTATCTCAAAGCATGGAGCATTACTTATTATCAGGCTTGCAATAAAGAGAAAGTTTCTGCTTTATGTTAAATTGACTGAACTTGAGGCTATCAACATTCTTCTGATTGAATTTCTACATGCAGTTATAAGTTATTTATACTGAATTTTTTTATTTGTATGATGCAAAATGAAGTAATAATTAAACGATATTATTATTATTAAATCGGTCAAATGTTTAGTTATTTAATCCGTTTTAAACTATTTTTCCTATTTCATTTATTAATTTGATCATTCGTTCTTTCATTGATTAATTGATTAATTAATTAATTCATTCATTCATTTATTCATCCATTCATTAAGAAATTCATTCATTCATTAAAAAATTCATTCATTAAGAAATTCGTTCTAGCAGCACATAATTTTTTTACAGTTGTTCATCTTCAACAAGACTTCGGAGAATCAGTTTGGAACAGTTCAGTTTGATGTTACAGGGTCGACATACGCGCCTGAAGGAGAATTGTTAGTCGGTGCATGTAACTTTCAACTTGCTGCCAGCTACTTCGTTCTAGCTTCCCTTCTCTTGCTTATATTGTTTTATTAGTGCTAGTTATTTAAAACGGATTACTCCTAAACGTCTTCATTATGTTTTCAGTTCGGGTAGAGTTGTAATTTTTTCCAATTGTCACTAGGTTACCTTCCATATTTTTTCATGTCAAGCAAATAGTATTTTTCATGTTTTAACTTAAAATGAATGAATAACTGAATGTGAAGGTACCAGGCAGGCAAGCCGGCGAGGGCCTGCGATTATGATGGTCTCGTTGAGTTGGCCACCATCTGCTCTCTCTGCAACGATTCCAGTGTCGATTTCAACGAGGTTTGTTTGTTTCTTTGTTTGTTTCTTGCATTCCTTATTAATTATCTTGCTTATCAAAGTTTTTTGATTTATAAGCATCTTAGTCATTCACTTCAATGATAACTTGTGTTCAAACCAATTCTACATAAGCGTTCACCAACGCTGTTGATTGATAAAGTTAACTTTTGATTTTTAAAAATATTGGAAAGTATTTTTTTTATAAATTCTAATTACCAGTCGAAAGGAATGTTTGAGAAGGTTGGTGAGGCCACTGAAACCGCTCTGACAGTTCTCGTTGAGAAGTTGAACCCGTACAACTTGGACAAATCAGGTTTGAAACAAAAGGAGCTGGGAACTTACTGCAACCAGAACATCCAGGCCATGTGGAAGAAGGAGTTCACGCTTGAATTCTCGAGAGACAGAAAGTCCATGAGTTCATTCTGCACTCCTATCAAAGCTACCAAACTATCTGCTGGTCCCAAACAATTTATCAAGGTTTGTGGTTTTGGTCTAGGTTCATTACTATTTTATTTCCATCTTTCGTGAAACATGTGTTCAAGGTATAGCAGTAGATTGTTATATGCCGTACGATCCTCAATTCAATATTTGTAAACTAATGTTTTCAATATTATAAAACTTTATGAGACTAAATGTTTGCCGACAAAACAACTGAACAATTGAATGATATGCACCGACTGATATTGCATGCGCTTTACAGGGAGCTCCAGAAGGATTGCTTGATAGGTGCAACTTTGTGAGAGTTGGCACTGAGAAAGTCGCCATGACTCCTCAGTTGAAGGCTGAAATCATCAAACACGTCAGATACTATGGAACAGGTTTGTTCATTACTTTCCATTTCATCCATTCCACATTTTATAACGATTGTTAAGAATTTTGAAATGATTTAATCAGAAACGCCATTGTTTTTAAAATATTTGCCAAGTTAACGGTCTGATACATTATTGACTTGTTGTTATGTATGGTGTTACATCGTTCTCATCACTTAATGTTATACCAGTTTGGGCCAGATATAAAAAAGCTTTACATTGAGCTGGTAAGGGTTTTATGTTGTGCGTAATTCTGTCACGTTAGCATTATGTTGAGTGGCGGAACTTTACAGGTAGAGATACGTTGAGATGTTTGGCGCTGGCTACCATTGATTCTCCACTGAAGAGAGAGGAGATGAATTTGGAAGATTCAACAAAATTCGTGAAATATGAGGTGAGGTCCTTACTTCTTTATTTCATCCTCATACCAAATTTCTAACATCGTGTCATTTCTTTTACAATAATGTAAGCCTTCAGATGTTCTCAATATTTTATATATATATATTTTAATTATAGCCAAAAAGCTGGATATTAGCGATACACTGGAAATTTCAGAAAATTTTAGCAAAAACATTTTATAGTTGAAAAAACTAAGCAGTAATAAAGTGTTTTATATTTTTCTGCATTCAATAATTTCCCCCCAGACGAACTGCACATTTGTCGGAGTGGTTGGGATGTTGGACCCTCCAAGGAAGGAGGTTATTGAGGCAATCAAGAACTGCAGGCTGGCTGGCATTCGCGTCATCGTCATCACTGGAGACAACAAGGTTGGTACTACCATTTTTGAGTTGCTTGCCAGGGAGGTCATTTTGATCTCGCTTTTATATTTCTGCATTTCGAGAATATGAGTTTATGCAAAATGTTTTTGTTTTAAATTTCTAGTAAGTCGAGTCGAAGTGCGTTGTTCATCTCTTTGAAGATCGAGATAAAAATTCATTCTTTATTCAGAACGCTTGAAATTGTATCTCCTTTGCAGATGCACTGATGAATTTTTTCTTTGAATATTTTAATCTTGTTTGCAAACCATTTGTTCAGAAAATCGCCTAGTGTCTTATTTTTTTTAGTTTGTGCGTACGTAAGCACAAATTAAATTTTTTTAAACAAATATCCTAAAAAATCGTTTGTAGATAGATTTGCTTTGCCACCGTTTTAATTCATTCGTGTTGTTTTCGTTAGACAAAATAATTTATATTACATGGGTTCTTCGTTTTTTCTTCATCTTCATCATAACTGCTATCTTCTAATGAGTTAACACTGTTTACGTCACTCACGTATGTGCTGTGCATTGTTGGTTTTGTTGCTACTGGCTGCAAATCTCTTGTTTTGCTGTTGCTTAAGTTTTAATTTTTGTTATGTAATGAAACAAACATGATGATTGGCTGTTTGCACTCACACTTTTTTGATCATTTATTCATTCGTTCGCTTTTTCCTTCATTCCTTCTTTTTTTTATTTCTGCACCATGTTCACATTAAACCGAAATAACATTTATTTCAGTTTCTTTTATATTCAGCATATTCAGCAGTTTTTACTTTCTTTGATGATTCGTAGAGAAAAATTGATGCAATCTGTGAAGATTGATGGAGAACAAACAGTCGATTAAAGATATCTTTTAAACATTTATTCAATTACGAACACTTCAGGTTTAACGAATTTAGTTTTATAGTATCAAACTATTTTTAGGTGGAGTGATTTATTTTCTTAAATTCAAACCTAATGTGAAGTTCATGATAATAAATGGTTGCAACTCTATAAGAAGAAATCAAATTATTTTTCAACCTTATCAAAATTGATAAATTTGTAATATTTTCAAATCTCACATATAATTTCGACTTCATTAAGTGGTAAAATACGGTCTTCATAAATTAAATCTATTAAAATTAGTAGATTCAGTTAATGTTTTAACTAAAAACTCAGTTGATAATAAGCACGAGAGCCGAATGTACATCTGTACAGACCCATGTTAAAAGATCAAACATGTTGTTGCTGACAGGCCACAGCAGAAGCAATCTGTCGTCGTATTGGGGTGTTCAGTGAGACGGAGAAGACAGAATACAAATCGTTCACGGGTCGCGAGTTTGATGACCTCACTCCACTGGATCAGGCCAGAGCAGTGAGGGGCGCCAGGCTGTTTGCAAGAGTGGAACCTGCACACAAGAGCAAAATTGTCGAGTACTTACAAGCTGATGGGGAAATATCCGCCATGGTGTGTCATCTTCCTTTACACTATTATTCGTATTCATTTAATCAATATTTTAAAGCGTGTATTTTGGTTTTTGAGCTATTTTAAAATTTTGAATAGAAAAATTTATAAGATTTGTACTCATATTGGTTGATAAAAAATTTCGTATAAAAATTTACGTGCGTGTTTGTAAGATAATATAGCATTATTGTAAGTTTTGTAACCAACCAACCAACCAACAAACAGACGGGAGATGGTGTAAATGACGCACCAGCTCTGAAGAAAGCGGAAATAGGAATTGCCATGGGATCAGGCACGGCTGTTGCCAAGTCAGCTTCTGAGATGGTTTTGGCAGACGATAACTTCTCAACCATCGTGGCAGCCGTTGAGGAAGGTACTGATGAGACCATTGTCAATTATTTCAATTTTCGTCCAGTTTCAAAATATATTTTTTGAAGTATAGATCTAATTAAGACCTCATTTGTTTGTTTTGTTTACTAGTTGTTTGTTTGCAGCAGATGCTATCTGCTAACAACGGCAACAACAACAATATTGATGTACTTTAATTAGCAATATGGAGCGCTCGGTGTCTTTTTGTTGTAGATAAGAAAATGTTTTTGGCATAACTATGTGTGCTGTCTGCCGATGATGTTATCAATCATACTCTGTTGACGTGAAACTTTTTATTTGTGTTCTTTTCTCGTTAAAAAAATATGAGAAAATGGTACATCTATTCACAATACCGCTTTATTTGAAAATTATTGATGTGTTAATATTGAGAGTTTAGTTTGGGAGTACATAGGTTTGCGCCTGTATCATAAATATCTAGTACCTTGGTATCTGTTTTATCTGCTATTTCGATATCTTAGTTATCTTGTACCTTTGTGTTTTATCCAACCAAGTTTTTTTGTTGTTTGGAATCTAAGGTATCTAATATTTTGGCACATGATATATTTGTACCTTGATATCTGATTTGTTTGGTAGAGGTCAGCTAAGGTCATTTTTACAAAACCTAGGGAATTAAATCGGCTGCTTCTTTCTTTCTTTCTCTCTCTCTTTCTCTCTCTCTCTCTCTCTCTCTCTCTCTGAATATAATAAATTGAACATTTATTAACATACACAATTATCATTGTTCTTTCATTGGTCAAATTATTTCAATGAAAGCCTGTGGACGTTTCAATCACACTCACAAAAATATCACACACAAAAACACACACATTCACACAAACAAACACACACACTCAAACATTATTTGACTTCTACGACTAAACCGGTCAGGTACATACACTGCTTAATTAAGAATATGGTTGTTGGGGCTTCCACTTACAATCTTGATGATGCTAGCTCAGTTGTTATAAGTGTGTTAACTGAATGGCAGACTCATCAGTTAGCGTGTAGGTAATATTTATGGATCGCTTCCGAGAGGATAATTTTTTGCTGAAAATTGTGATAGAATGATGGCGAAGAGGAGGACGACAATAGTGAATGCTCGCGGTGCATATTTGTTGCTTCTAACTGTTTACTTAGAGTATGCTTTACACAAAATGATTTTTGTACTAACTCGTGAATAGCAAGCAAAACAACATGGAGTAAAAAACAGCTGACGAACATTAGAGGCAAATAAGGAGAAGATTTTATTAGTAATTTTAATAAGAAAAGGAAGCACTTAGGCGCAGTGCACTGCACTGCAATAACAGGTGTTGTGTTATGTTGGCGTTAAAAATTTATCAATTTTTATAAAAATTATTCAGCTGCGTTTGTATTTTAAGTTTCACTTTTGAAGACAAAATATAAATTGTTTGGCTGCTTCGCGCGTTATTTTTCTCTTTTGTATTTTTTTATTTTTTCCACTGTCATATTCAATCATAACAATAATTGATATCCCCAAAGAATTTTTATTAAGTATGTTGTTTGTCTGCAATCTTTTTCTCTGCTGGTTGTTTACTTTTTGTTTGTTGAGCAGTCGAATGAGTTTTCATCCTTCAATTATTCTACCATCCCTTGTTTGCGCTTATTGTTGTGTTTTTTTTTTATTTCACAAATTCATTATAATAGTTTTTAGATTTAAAATTGGCAAAGATTGGAAACGAGTTTTGAAATGTCATAGATCATAATTTATACATGCTGTCATTTATCATAAACTTGCTCAGAAATCATTGATAAGAAAACGCTCCGGTGCGTATGAGTTTTTTAAATAATTCGTTTTTTTTTTAATTTTTACAATGCACATTACAAAGTATAGATCTATTGAGAATACGTTACGGACAAGCACACAACTTGTCGTACTCTCATTTAATATTTCCAAATTCATTCAATGTTTCATTTTTCTGCAAATTTCAATCGTCCAGGTCGTGCCATATACAACAACATGAAGCAGTTCATTCGTTACTTGATCTCATCGAACATCGGAGAGGTGGTATGCATCTTCTTGACGGCTGCTCTGGGCATGCCTGAGGCTCTCATCCCAGTTCAACTACTCTGGGTCAACCTGGTCACCGACGGACTGCCGGCTACTGCTCTCGGTTTCAATCCTCCAGACCTGGACATCATGAAGAAACCTCCTAGGTCGGCCAAAGAGCCTCTGATCAGCAACTGGCTGTTCTTCAGGTACATGGCTATTGGTGGTTACGTCGGTGCAGCCACTGTCGGAGCTTCTGCTTGGTGGTTCACCTTCTACGACAAGGGGCCTCAACTGAACTTTTATCAGATGGTAGGTTGCTAATTCAGTTTGCCTCATCCACTTAAGATATAATTCACAAGTGAAAATTTCTAGTGAAAATTTTAACGCTAATAACTTCATTTGAGTTTGACATAAAAAAAATATGTATATTGATATTTATATCAACTTAATGCAAACATGTATGCAAAGTTTCGTGCAAACTTCGATCACTGTTAGTTTTCGCAGCCATAAACACAGGAGTTCTCTTTATTTTTTTATGTTTCCAAGTACCACTTGCTTTCCTCTTAAGAATTGCATTATGGGCGTTTTGTATTACTTTTTAGTTGCATAATATTTTTTAATCTCCAACTCTTTTAAAATTTTATTGATACATTTTTTTTCAATTGCTTGATTGAGAATAAGAAAGCCCATGTTAATTGTATAATTTTGTAATTGTAATTAATGTATGCTTAGTTTTTGTATTACCTTTAATATTTTCCTATAGATCCAGTCATTAAATAAAAATAATTGCGTTCATTTGCATCAACTGGACGGCCTACTGTTTTTAATTTTGAGACTAATTTGTTGTTGTTTCTACATTGCTATAAGAAAATCATTTTCAACAAAGAAGCGGTTCTAATGGAGACCGTCAGTAAATTTACCAGAATTTCTGACTTCATCGCTTTAAAAATAAAAAATATCGAACGATAGAAAATTAACGATCTACAAATTGTGCTCGCAGACACATCACATGCAGTGCCCTGCTGAACCTCGCATGTTCCCTGGAATCGATTGCGACATCTTTGAAAATCCCAAGCCCAAAACCATGGCACTGTCAGTGCTCGTTGTCATCGAGATATTCAACGCACTCAACAGGTTGGCAGTGATTATTATTTGAATGTTTTTGGGAATCTGTAGTTCAAAACTGTTTTTCCTCGTCTGCAGTGTTCAGCATGCTTATTGCCTGTGCATACGTGTTGTGCTTAGAATTAGATTTATTTAGACTGATTTTTATTAAAATCTGCGACAAATTTGAATGACTGAAATTCTTTGCGTTATTTTTATTAAATAACCCATCAATCATATATTATTTCCAGTAAGCAAGCGCCGTATAATTTCTAATCAGTATTTCAGAGAATCAATCGTTACTGGTCATGCCTCCCTGGTGCAATCTCTGGCTCATGGGCGCCATCGTTCTTTCTATGAGCTTGCATTTTGTTATCCTAGAAGTCGATTTCCTCTCGGTCAGTTGAAGGATTGAATGGATGAACGAATTGAGTGATAGATAAATAAATGAAACAATCTGTAATAACCGTTCAACGGTTATAGATAGATTGATGGGCAGTAGCACATCTCGGATGTTTTCTTTTTTGTTTGGAAAAAGAATTTTGGTTAATGAAATTCTATTGTTACATCAAACATTCAATCAATTTCACTGCTGAACCTGATGAAATAAAACTGAAATACTTCCTCCCTGGCCGCCCAACAGACCGTCTTCCAGATAACGCCCCTGACATTTGAGGAGTGGATAGCTGTGCTCAAAATATCCTTCCCCGTCATCTTAATCGATGAAGTTCTCAAACTGATCGCCAGGAAATTCACTGATGGTCAGTTTCGTTTCTATATGTTGGTCAATAATGATGAATGGTGGTTTTTAATAGGATACTTTACGCAATTTTACTGTTTTCAGTCTGATATCATTTAAATTTCCATGAATAATGAAATTTTTTAGTTGCCGTGGCAGTCGATCCCATGGCTGTGGACAAGATGTACGAGAGAAGAAGAACCCTGTACTAAAAATATTTTCTGCAACGTCATAATTAATTTTTTTAATTATTAATTCATTTCATTAAGACATAAATTTGTGAAATTTTTTAAATTAACGCGATGATTATGATGATGATATTGTTTTTATTCTTTCTAGATTTTGTGGGATTTCATAATTTTTACCGTTTTTATTTCATTCTTACAGTTTCTTTTTAGGATTTGTTTTGTAAAGTTAGTTCTTGAAATGGTTGTTAACTGGTTGTAGATAGCAGCGCATCGCTAATCTCATCTCCTACTCTCACATTTGATATTCTCATGTTTGATATTATTTTTATTTATTTATTATTTTCTACTTTTATTTTCTTATCTGGAGAAGCAATGTGTGAAAATTTGTGGTTGGTTGATTCGTTCTCATCAGCATCCACTTTTTCACGCTTGTATCATTTGCAGAAATTTGTTAATTTTTACTTTCGTTAAATCTCTTTTTAAATTTTTTTTGGTCTTCTTCAGTTAGCTGGAGAATGATTTGCGTGGCGATAATAACAATAATATTTACTGAGAATAAAGGCATAATGAAGCAACGATGATAGTTATTTATTATAGCTGGCGTTGTGATTATTTTATCACGATAAAAAGCGTAACAAAGAAAATCATACTTAGAACATTTTTAAAATCGGAGATTGTTTTAATATCTTTGCTATTGTGAACTAAGTAGAGGTGTGTAAGTAGAAAAATAATTGGCCAGTATTTTATTTTTCATATTATTGTTATTATTGTCACTCAGATTATTTTCCTTGCTTTATTTTCAAATAAATTATTTCTACATTTAATTTCTACATTTTTAATTTTTGTTCAGACTCCGTTGAGTGATCTTCATAATATGCATATATATTTGTTTATTATGTTTATTTTAGTTTTTAATTAGTATTGTTATTTATATTCATTTTATTCATCTGGATCTCACCTATTTCGTATTTTTTTCGGAATTCTTTTTGAATTTATTTGAAATTTCAACGTCAATTTCATTTTTTTATTTTTTGGTCGACTATATAGTGGTACAGTACATACGTAGAGGTACAGTCTTGACATCATAATAAGCAATATTGAACATTTTCTTTCTCGGATCATATCTTAGAAGATGTTCAAACTTTTTTCTTCGGCCTAGAATTTTTTCTGAAAATTTTATTAGTTTCAATAACATTTATTCATTTTGTTTAAATAATTTTTTTAAATGTTTCACTTAATCATAATAACCATTTAATTGTCTGACGCATTGATATATCTAAGTCCACGACATTTTTGAGTGCAAATAAATATTTGGTGGGGAAACACGCAAGAGTTGTTTTTTAATTTTTTAAAAATTTGTCTCAGTAACAGTTACAAAATAGTTGATTTTTGAATGTTTTAACTAGCACGAAATCTACGTATAACGAACAAACAACCAATGCCAGTGGATTATACCAGATTTGAAACAGCGCAGTCAAGCGCGTTTTATCAGTAATAATAACATAATAACGCTACACTGCTTAAAATTAAATTTTTAAATCCAGTTAATTAGTATCCATGAGAACTTAAAACACGCATCAGCAACTGACGACGATTTTACTTGCGAACGTCCGACAAAGTAGCGGCAGATGTTGTCGTCAGGTAGGTAGGTAGGTACGTCAATGTATCGAGAGAAACAGCGGTTAGGCGGAGTACTAACTCAACAATGTTCATTACCGATGCTCCAATCACGATCATCTTGCATTGCAAAACATCTCTTG